CAGCACTTTACAGTGATCAGCTACCAATCGAGAATGAGCAAGAAGTGCAACCTGGTAAGTTAATCAAAAATTGATTCATAATCTTATCAGTAGTCCACGTCTACATCACTATAATCTCAGGTAATATCTGTAACCGAACCGAATTCAACTTTGAAGAGCCCACAGTGGAACATCATAGAGCTGCGGCGTCATTATATGAATGCATCTCTAATGGTACGCTTGATATGAACAGAGCAGCGCGCTTGATACTAGCTCAAAAAAGAAATGGAACGTTTAATCAATCCGTATATGATGTAAGTTTGCCTTTAGAATAATATGATTGACATACAATCGATATGAATTTCAGGAATTTGTAAGATCGGAAGTAGCTTCACGTGTTCAGTACTTCCGGAATGCTGGAATGCTGGACATGTCCGACCCTGTCTTAGAAATGAAGCTTACGGGAATTACCAACTTCCTTATGGTAGGTGTCTTTTCTACACATCTCCTAAAAGCAAGATAACCAGAAGTTCAAATTAAGGCAGAGATTCAATGCGCAAAATTGGATCGCTACATAAGGATCGCCGAAGTAACGGAACGCAAAAATGACCCGATTAGCAAACCGTTAATTGCAGTTCAAAATTGTACCAGGCAGTGGAAGATGGAAGGGCCAGACCCTTTTGTTACAGTCAGTCAACAACTTTGTCTCTTAAAGAGCTAAAAATTCCTTTACAGATAGCTCTTCAAGAAATGGTGGCGAATTATCAGCCAAAAGAATGTAGTTCCTCTTTCCAAGCGTTTGCAGCACTCTACCGCTACGTCCTTACGCGGGTTACTAATTACGCATTATATGAAATGAACTAATGAGCAATATCATATTAAGATCACGGAGCCTCCTCAGAAAATACAGGAGTATGCGGTAAGGATCAACGGACGCTGTGGAAGGAACGAAAATTTGTTAGGACTCCCAGCATGCATAGAAAATCTGCTCCTAGGTTTGACAAAATCATCGATGAAAGGTGAAGTAACAATAAATAGCTTCCCTAATCAGATTTTGGAGAAGACATGATCGGATACGGGCAAAATGAGCTCAAGGCTGGCGTTGTCATCAATCCGATGCAGTCTAGGTCACTCTTACATTCATATTTTATAAAACTTGCAATATTTTGTCTAAATTAGAAATTTTAGTTTTTTCATGAGGCTGGGGAACACGCATGAAGAAAGAGAATGCGCTCTACAGCAGCTTACACAGGAGCGAGTTGTATTTAGGAAGGAGCTCTTCAAAGGTCTTCAGCTCGCACTGTGAGGAAGAATTAATTTTACTATTTAGGATTAATCTAGGTATGCGAAGTAACCTTACTTACTAACATTTAGGAGAGATGTGCGCTCCTACACGTACGACGTTCAGAGAAAGCAATGGATGCCAAGCGCTGTAAGTATCAACCATACCTTAGAAGCATAAACATGCAACTCCCACACATCACAGCATCAACTTTCAGAGGAAAGCAAAACGCTCGAGGATGGACTCAACAGGAGAAGGAAATGAGGATCCAGCAACTTTTATGCCGTAAATGCTGTGGATGACAGATTGTTTTGTCTATGCTTGAATGTATATAGATATTTATAAAATAGTATTTAATTAATTATACGCACTAAACACTCGCACATATATTGTTAATGTATCTAGTCCTATTATATTGTGATCTCAGAGAAGCATTTTTGAATATATGCCTTAACTTCGCTGCCAACTATCTAAGATTTCTATTTTTAAATTATGGGTACTATATCGCATGTGTATATCAAGTCCTACCTGTGCTTGCTAATATTTATGGATGAAAAATGCCACGCTGTACAATATTTGATTACCCGTGTAATGATGAAATAATTAAATTTGAAATGAAATTTGATTACAAGTGAATAAAATGATTG